TCATTTCGTGAGAGGCTTAAATACATTTGTGGTTTATATAGCATACCAACAATAAATAAGAATTTTAATTTTTGTTTTATTTATCGAACCAATGAAATATAATTTAAATTTAAATACACAAATGTGCAAATAATGATCAAAATAAAAAGAAAATAATTTAACCGTTTCTTTTTTAATTTTTTACTCATGTTATATAAAACATATTATTTTGAATTATTATTTTAAACTATAGACTGGAGATAAAATACGAGTATGTCTACATTAATCATTAGACACTCTTTCCATGATAAATGGATCACTAAGCATATAAATTAAAATTATATGAAATTTCATAGTTTTGTTTGAAGTTATGACCAAAATTACAGAGTGGCCCACCACTCACTGACAACTTAAATAACTTTTGATCCAGTTAATATTTTTAGTTGATTTTTTTTTTAAATAATAGTTATACGTTAGGTCTATAGCTATATCTCAATAATTAATTTTTTTACATTTTATTAAAAATATTAATTATTTTTAAATTTTAAATAAAATGTAAAAAAAAAATCTAAGATAGCTATTTTGTAGAGTAGAATTTAAGAAAAATTTTAGTAAAAAAATATCTTATTAATATTCAGTAGTAAATATTCTGTAGCGTTTTGAAGTTTGTAAAAATTTGAATTTTCATGTACTATTTTACGGTTATAAACATTGAAATACGTATTGAGAAAAGGACAGAAGAAAACGCTATCTTTTCATGATTACTGTGTATACATATGATGATAGTGTGTATACATTACAAACTTGGCATAAATACCATGATAAGAAATTAGATAAGGCAATTATTACTTATCACTCTCATTCAAAAGTATATTGAAAAGATAGCGTTTTCTTCTGTCCTTTTCTCAATACGTATTTCAATGTTTAATACCGTAAAATAGTACATGAAAATTCAAATTTTCACAAACTTCAAAACGCTACAGAATATTTACTACTGAATATTAATAAGATATTTTTTTACTAAAATTTTTCTTAAATTCTACTCTACAAAATAGCTATCTTAGATTTTTTTTTTACATTTTATTTAAAATTTAAAAATAATTAATATTTTTAATAAAATGTAAAAAAATTAATTATTGAGATATAGCTATAGACCTAACGTATAACTATTATTTAAAAAAAAAATCAACTAAAAATATTAACTGGATCAAAAGTTATTTAAGTTGTCAGTGAGTGGTGGGCCACCCTATATATACATTTTTACATAACGCAAATATTTTGTATTTACTAAAAAAAATTGTTTTTTAAAACAATTTTAATGAAACATTATCTAATTTATAATTATTTCCAAGAAGGTTTTATTGATCTTTCTTTAAGTTCTAGTTTGTTGTCGAAAATGTAAAGTGACTAGACATAAGTTTTCGTGAAAATAATTTTTAAATTAATTTGGAAGAAATGTTTTATTAACATTGAACGGAAACTGAAGTGTAATTTTTTTTATAATTTAAAATTGGATATATTTATTATAAAGTTACAATATCTTGGTTTTCAACTTTACATTCATTTCTGAACAGCAAAAACCCAGCACAGGGGGTCGCGACACAGTGGTGACGTGGTATAGATGGATCAAGTATAATGATATCTGACAGTGATTAAAATCACTATCAAAGAAAAACGCTTCGATGCAAATCTTTAGATAGTGTTTAATTTTAAAAAATTGGTGGACTATTCCAAAAGCTACATGATCTGTTAGTTCATTATTAATATCCTAATTAAGATAAAGTATGTAGAATGAAACCATACACTTTTCAATATGTCATAGCATTATAAAGTTAAAAATGTAAAAAATAAAATCGAGAATTTTCACACAATAATAGCATTCGGTAGCCATTTTCACCGTGAAGATAAAATAAAGTCCGAAATTTTTTTTTTGCATAATAAAGTATATTACATTAGCTTTAATTTAAGATATATATAAAAGTGTCAGACTTTCCAAAACACTTTCAAAATTTAAGTTGAAAAAGTAAATTTTTTGTGAAAAAGTTGTCATTTTAATTCCCCCCCTGTGAGCAGGTAAAAAGTCAGATTTATAAAAAAAATATACCAAATGATAGGTAAAGACATCATGCATCTACAAAAAAAAGAATTATATTGATCCATACATCTTTCGAGAAGTTATAGCATTATAAAGTTAAAAATATAA